ACCAGTCCTGTGAAAGAACTCCATGGTCCATGGAGCCTCACGCCCTTTCCCACCATACTGTTTCAGGTGTTGGTAATAAAAGATTTATGGAAACGGAGACGACCCAGGGGGCGTATGAATATTTTTTCCTGAGGATCCAAGAACACGACTTTTGACCTCAAAAGATTTGATTTGATTTGTTGCCAGAAAGAGACCATGAGAACGGCCGCTGCCCTCTGGAGCGTCCTTCTTGCCGCCACAGCGGCACTAGCAAATGCTGGGAACCCATTCTCATCCAATGTGATTGCGTTGACGCCAAAGAACTGGCGGCAAGAAGTGGAAGGTTAGAATACTGTAGCTAGTAGCATTGGATCGTTGTAATTCTTGGAAATGGTTGTGTTGTGTTCTCACCTTCATTGAATTGAATCATGGCACTGCTTTGGCTATCACAAAGAATCGCCACACGCGGTCTTTGTAAATATTTGCCGTCAGGGCTGAGGCTACTGCCAGCTTCTTACCCCGGAGGTGAGTCGAGTCTATTAGATACATGTATTACATTATGTTTTTTTAATATTGCGCTGACTGCTGATTTTCTCGCTTTCAATTTCCGGGGATTGCAGTGGGAGAAGCTGGCTGGTGCCGTGAAAGGTTAGAGTCGAGTCACATTGGATCACAGCAATTTCTGGGAAATGGTTGTTTTCGTTTCTCACCTTTATTGAGTCATGGCTACTTTGGCTATCACCAGGGACGGTAAAGATTGCCTATTGGGACACGGAGCAAAGAGCACGACCACCCCCCTTGTTGGGGGAAATTAAAGGAACTCCTACCATTCGACTTTACAAACCCAAAAAGAAACAAAAACCAGGAAGCAATGCACAGAAAGCAGTGAATGACTACCAATATGAACGGAAAGCGGTTGACATGAAGCGCTTTTTGGATGCGCAAATGCCAGATTTCGTCGAGAAAGTGAAAGACGGTGCCGATTTTGCCAAATTCCAAGACAAGGCTACTCGAAATCAGCTGCCGCAGGTGTTGCTGTTTTCCTCCAAACCCAATACATCGCCGTTGACCAAGTACCTTTCGGTTGAGTTTCGACGTCGAATCCTCTTGGCAGAAATCAAACCAAACAAGAAAAATGAGAGCATTCTAGAAAAATACGGTGTTACCAAGTTGCCGGCCCTTGTGGTGATCCCGCCAGCGAACGCAGACGGGGATGAAAGTGCCCCCATTCACTTCGATGGAGATGGCTTCACGAGGCACAAATTGCATGGGTTCTTGTCCAAGCATGCCCTAAAAGATCCTGTTCTCAACGCTAAAAAGAAGGAAGATGTGAAAGGTGAAAGTGCAAATGAAGAAGAAAAGTCTCAGAAGACAGGAGACGATGAGGCAAACAGTAAGGCAAAGGAAAAGGTGCATTCCGAGTTGTAGCCTTGGATCCATCAAAACATTACAACAGAGGAGACTTGAGTGGGAGATGAATCTGGGTTGGATCCATGCGTTGGTCTGGGCCAATGACTTGAATGACGGTTCTGTTGATCGACCAAGGAACCTGCCTGATCTTCTTCTATGGACCTGACAAAGACTTGAGAAATGATGTTCGGACGGTCTCTTCGCTTGCAATATTATCAATCCACCCTCCGTCCGTCCCACTACTGAGCGTCAGATATTGCATGCGAGGCCCCAACCGTAATCTTTCTCCAGCAAGTACAACCCAGGTACCATGGATTCTTGCCCAGTATCGCCCACAGACGTAATCTCTAATAGCAGGAAGAAAGACATTTGAAACCGTGTCCGTGCCTGGTTTCACTCATGGTGGGAAAATGGAGACAGTGCTGCGCTGCTACATTTATCACTTCCGCTCGTACTACCTAGTGACAAGCTAGATCATTATTTCACGACAAGTTCTAGCTAGTGCTGCATCGTTCCGGTACCGGTATAAATGCAAGAGCATTCCGCCGTTGGAGTAAGCTGCGAGCCAGAACTACCGGTGCCTATCTGGTACGGTAGAGGTACATGAACAGGAAACTGATACTACTTGCTAGTACTTTTTAGCTTCGTTGTTGTTGCCTTTCCCTTCGTCGCTGCCATGCACCACTAAGTTCTTCGGCAGACAGCGTTGGCATTTCTTCTGTATCTTCACTAATGTCCTCCAAGGTGACTTCGGTCTCATCTCCCATCTCGCTACTTTCCAGATCTTTGGATGATGCTGCCATCTGATTCATATTGCGAACCAGCATATTGTGAGATAAATGAGTGCGTCGATGGCGTCTTCGTTGTTCGACAGTACTGCCTCTGGTTTTGCCAGAATTCACACTTGACAAATCGTTTGAATTTCTGCTTTCTTTGGAAGACACAGACCTGCCATCTCCAGTATTCTCTTCACCACCGGCATCCATAGAATCCAACTTGGCCAACTGTTGACCCAACCTCATATCATTCTTTGCCTTTTGCTTCTGCCGCGCCAACTTGGCCTTTTGTGCCGCTAGTTTGGCTTCTTCCTGTTCTCGTTCTTCTCGTTCCCGTTGCAGAGCTGCTGCCTTGCGGATTCGTAAACGAGCATCCGAGTTGGCAACGGAGGTGCGAAGCGGCGACCGAGGTGATAGCTGTCTTCGAGGAGATCTGATGTCACGAGCACTCTTGCCAGAACCACATCTTCCTGGAGAGAGCGGGCAGTCTGAGTTCTCCGAAGAGACAGAACTGCGATTCTTGGACTTGATGGTTCGTTCTCCACATGTATAGGATCTGGATATGGCCCGCTTGCTCTGTCTGGAGCCACCATCAGCCTTTTGCTCAGAGGATTGTTTTCCCACTGCTGCGTTGCTACGCCGAGCTGAATTCTTGGGGAACAAAGGGGCACTCCCTGGTTTGGGGGTTCGCTGCTGGCTCATCCTTGCTCTCCTCCTGGACTCATCAGAACCTTTGCTCATGCTGATTTCATCCATTTGGCTTGCACTATCTTCCAAGAGATGACCACTGTCTTGGCTGCTGCTGTCTCTCAAACGGCTACTTTCCAAGTTGCTTCGACTGCTCCGTCCTGCCACAGACGAAGGTTTTCGCGATCGACTCGGCTTGGTCTTGCGAGAATGTTGCTGATGTAGTTGCTTCTGCTCTGCCTCGAGATTCGGAAACGCCACATCATCATTCCGATCGGTCGTATCAAAAGGATCAAAGGCTTCATCCTCAAGGGAATAATCTTCCAAGTCGTCTTGAATGCTGTGTCTGCCCATGATCTCGGCGTGCCTTGGTGCCATGGTCAGTTCGGTTTATTGGGTGTTTGTACGGGTACGGATTTGTGGTATTGTGGTGAGGAAGTCTGAAGTGTTGGGTCTTGGACTTCATTCTTTCTCAGGCTTCAAGCTTCAAACGAAAACAAAGGGTCGTGGACCCTCACTTCAAAAGACATCAAATTGTGGGCCTGTTGTATCCAGGACAAGACGGGTTTGGAGCCTAATTCTTGATGGAAACAGGTAACATTGTCGATTAAGACCCCACAGCCCGCGGAAGTGTCCAGGAGCCGAAGCTTATTAATGGACTACTTCCCCTTGTCGTCCCTCATTACAAACTACTAGTATCAATAAAAGTCTTTTTGAGTGCTTACTTGCTCATCCCAATATCCCAATGGCCAAAAGCTGGCCTGCACTGCCTCACTGGCTTCTTTGGTTACATTGGAATTCTATCGAGCAAAGGAATTACGTTACCAGTAGCGACTCACGTCGACTTCGTCACTCACGTCGACTTCTACTGAGTCCCAAGGCATTATTACGTAAGTCACGCTCAGGACTGATGAATCGAAATTAGAATATTTCAAGGAGTTTAGTTGTGGAATTACTTTCCTTTCCAGGAATTTGACCAGCCTACCGGTATTTTGTGGAGGAACGATACCACTGTACCGTAGAAGGCGTACGGTGCTAGCTAGCGTAGCGACTACTACCTGGTACCTAGTAGCTAGCGTACTTAAAAGCGCTCACTTACTCATCCATGGCCAAATGCTTGCCTCACTGCCTCACTGGCTTCTTTGCTTGTGCAGTAGTGCAGTAGTACTAGCTAGCTAGCTAGTACTTACTTTGTCATTCACAAAGCTTTCGGTATGTACTGTACTAATGATGTTTTGGTCAGCATGTTCAAGTTGAGCATAAGAGAGATTTCTAGCATTAAAAGCGGGAATCCCCTGGCACACGCCCAATGAATTTTTTGGAACGAGGCTGTATGGTTTAACATTATTTATTATTTGTAGCTTCTGAGACTACGACACTGGCATAGCTGCAACCTGCGGCTTGCAAGCTTGCGGCCAAATTCTTGGAGGCCAAGTATCCGTACATGTACATGACTCCGAGCTCCCAGTTGCTGCATCCCTGCATCAAAGCAAAGCCAGACGGAAGGTGAAGGTTCACCAGACTGGAAGCAAATCTAATCTTTCATTTTCTTGCGAATGTAGTTCCATTCTTTCTAGTAAAATAGGTATACGGGTAGACAGCTACTCAGACGTATGTCATACCTTTATCATTCAACAGGACAGACATCACAATACGATCAAGGTGAGAGTACCGTACCGGTGCCGGTGCCGGTAGCACCCCCCCCCCAACAGGCTCCCAACACCCGATATCACTCGTTCAGATACTACTAGCTATCGGTACCGCTACCGATACAGCGTACTTATTAAGTACTCAGTATGACATACTCTGGGTACTACTAGCTATTAAAATAGTAGTAGTCTACTCTAAGTACATGTACCGGTATGGCATACCGATAGAGCCAAAGCTTGCAAAGCTCTCCAATGTTTCTTCTTAGCGAGGTTCGGCAGTCATGTTTTTTAACAATGTTGGGCTGTTTAATCCTTTTTAAATCATTTGAAACTGTGACTCACACTTTGGAGCATAGTCGTCTTATGATTCTTTGTTCTGGACGAGCCAGTTATTAAATCACTTAGTTCTGAAATCTGTGACTCACACTTAACAGTGCCGCCTAAACAAGCCCTGTGAAATGCATTTCCCAGCTGGCTGCGACTTTGTCGTACCGCTTCCCACGTGGGCTGCGGTATTGGTGTGAACCAGCCTGTCGAGTCCAGTTGATGCGTTCGTTCCGCTTGCTTTTGGTCTTCTGTGAGCTCTTCTGTGCATGTTGACAGCCTTTCCCCAAAGCACCACAATTCTACTCCAGTCTGCTGTGTTTGTTTCTTGAGCTTTCTTGTTGGTTGTATTCGCAATTCGCCTTCCTATCATTGAAGGTTTGCTGGATAGCCTTCTTTTCATTGCCATCACTTCCGCTGGAATAGAGAAGCAAATAATAGTTTTGTTGCGAAACCTCTCTTTGATTTGTATTTGTTGTTGAGTGTGCAGTGATTGCCAGATCGCAAGAGTCTCGTTGGAAAGGCCTTTGAAAACTACTAGAGATTATTCCGGCAAAGGTACCATCCATCCATCCACCCTCAGGTATACACCAACAAGAATGAATATGAATTTTGATGACAACCGGGCTCCAGGGAATGCTGCCTTCAGCAGCAACAGGCTCACCAATGGTCCTCCAGCAAAGCACGACATTGATGTCCTGGGCAGGCTCCCGGACAACGAAAAAGTGGAATCTAGCGTATTTGGAGACGTCTTTGGAGACATGTCTGTAGGCCCAACGGACGTACTCTGTGGACGAAGCAAGCAATCCTTTAATCATGGTGAGTACTCACAGGATTCTATTGATTCTATTGAGAGCCCAGTCCAGCCCAACCAAAGCCAAGTTGTTTAAGCTCATTGATACCTGACAGTTAGTTTGTTGTCTCATCCTTCCGTGTCCCCAGTTGGAAACAGGCGCTTTCGTGACCTTGTAGCATCAGCCGTGGATATATACAACAATGCAAGTACGAGACTTGACAAGGCTGCTGTCGTCAATTCGGTGGTTGAAGAGGTTCATCAGTCTGGGGGCCGCTTCCTTCGACACGGCGACGAAAAGGGGACGTGGCGAGGTGAGTGCAACCAAAAATCCATGGTCTTGTGTGTTTGTTTTAAAAGCTTAAACTCTGTTTTCCCCGCACCCTTCGGTTCCAACAATGCTGTTTGGAACTTGCAGTCTTGGGATACTCTCAGTGCCGAGAGAAGGTAAGCTCATCGCACTGAGGTGGAAGTTGCTACCAGCACAATACCTCACAATATTGACTCCTTGTAACCATTCAGGTTGGTCACGCCATTCGAGATTGCACCTCTAGCATTGAAGCCCGGAAGAAAAGAAAACTTCACCAAGAAGTAGCTCGGAGAAAGGTTACGAGTGCCATCATTGCCAAGAGCAAACACCTGTTACCGAACCCAACTAGCAAGAGTGGCAAGCTCGGAAAAATGGACTGCTTCGACGAAACTAATAGCAACCCCCTCAAGTATAGCATTGCCAGCATTGCCAAGCAGTTTGCCGACGGCAGCAGCGGCTGCAGCAGCAGCTATTTGGAGGTAGAGAAAGACAAATCACTCGCGCTGCCTCTCGATGGCCCCATCGCAGAGCAATCACTAAGTATGGACCGGATGAACCAAGATCTGATTTCATCCGAGCCTTTCAAGCGGAGCGAACCGTTGGATTCTGCACTCACTTGGACAAGCAACATTCCTGGGCTTGACATGGTACCGGTAGCGTCACCTGGCGGAGATGGCCCTGCTAAAGTGACAGTGGATCACGATGATCAAGACTTTTTAGCTTTGATTGATGAGGTCCTAGGACCGTTGCATCAAAATGTTGGAGAAGCCAACCACATTCTTCAAAGTTACAACGACGAAAACACAAACATCAAGGTTCTAGGAGTTTGACGTTGAAGAGGGAGGGTGCCTTTTCATATTTATGTCATGTTGGTTGAGTTTCTTGAGTGGGGCGTTGCTGAAAAGTTGTGACTACTCGATGGCATGAAGCTCCTGGGCTGAAGAGGAGCTGTGACAAAGGAAGTCTTTGTACGACGGTTTTGACATTGCAATGTTCCACGATGAGACCTTCACAAGAGGCAGGGTGGTGTCTTGCGGCAGTCTTTCGATCAACTAGCTATACCGGTATAAGGGTTGATGGGGCTGATAAGCTTGCATTTATTTTTGTACCTAGGCATACCCTGATTTCTGTAGCACCTGCCGATGTACCACCGCTGGTGGCATCCAAGCTCAAGAAGCAGTCCAACTGAGCTTTCTCTATTCCAGGTTACTAGCTAGTATTCTGCATCTACAATCTTTGTTTCGTTGGTTCAAATCCTACTGTAATGCTACTCATCATGCTGCTGTTTCCTGGTCTCCTTATTTACTTCTCGCTGCTCCACGTAAACGAGTACTCAGATCAGATCGGTGTTATGGTGCTGTTCGTATTGTGTGTGTGGGGTGGCTCTCTGTTGTCTACTAGTGATGTCGTTTTCTCTCATTTTCCCTGTACAGTACGGTAGAAAGGAAGCAAGAGTTCCATTGCAGCCGCTGCGAGCGATCAAAGGTTTTGGTTTTTGCAACCCTTGTGGCGTTATTCTTTCTTCTTTTGCATTCAATTGTAGTGCCAAGTAATATTGTGTTTGATCACCAGGTGGAAAGCAATCTCATTCTTTTGGTTGGTTGCAGCCGTCTTTTCCTTGCTTGTCTGCTGTTGTTTTGCTGTCTTCTGCTTGCTTCTAGTTACGATGCGCCACCCGTCCTTGCTTTGTTTTGAATCCTTCCACAAGATCCATACCGTACTCTCACGACACTCAGCACCATCATTCGTGGATTGCTGCCTTTTCCTTGTGTGCCTCTACTCGTAATCTCTGACATTTTCCTGCGATGGGTACCCAGACTAAACGATTCTTCTTTTGTCTATTCAATCAATCAATCAATCACCACTATAAACCACCTGGAACGAATTCTTTGGCATGAATGTTCAACGAAGTACGATTAAGAGGGTCAGCAGCAAGAGGAGAAGGTGTGACAGGAGTGGCAGCCTGTCGTTGTGCATCCACAGTAGGCTGTGACGGTGCTGGGGGAGTCTTGTTGGCACCGTTGGATCCATTCTTCTTCGTCATTCCGTTCTTGGTCGGAGTAGATCCATTTTGCATGGGAAGAGCTTGTGTGCTGTTCTTGATTGCATGGTTGACCAACACTGGATTTCGTCCCCTCGCTCCCCAAGCAGGAGCTGCAGCCGGTGGTGGGGCTGGTACCCAAGCGGATTTGACCGGTGGTTGTCGTGCTGATGGTGGTGGCGTTGTTGTTGCGATTCCCGTTGGTGCCATGGGTTTCCAGGCTCCCGCTGGCGCAGCAGTCACAATGGGACGAGCACCATTGGTCACGAGTGGGGGAAAGGCGGCCGTTCCTGCCAAGCCTTTCGTGCCATTGTTGTTGTCATCGGAAGGATGTATGTACAGACACCCTGACGTTTTGCAGTGATCGCCGTAGCGACATTTGGTTGCCTTGTACTTGTTGATGAGCCGTTCTGCTTCAACTTTGCCAGGATGTCGTTTGCGACAACCAGCGGCCGTAAATGTACAAAGTCCTGCCAAAAAGGGCATGCAAGGTTCCCCCGATTTGTCGCCTCCTCCACTGGCATCGGGCCCGTCATGCCGATAGAAGCAGTTGGCGCGAGTGCAGCCTTTGCCATAGAAACACTGTTCCATCGACGGCGCAGTTTTCTTCTTGGAAGCCTGCATCGAAACACCTCGATTATTGTTCACGTAGTTCTTGCCTCGTGGCATAATAGTGAAAAAAATAATGGAAGAGAGATAAATGTCGCTGGATCGTGCCACTCAAAGGCCACACTTTCAAGACTGGTCTGTGTCAAGAGATCGAATGAGAAAAACAAACGTGATGCAATTCAAGCCAACAAACGAATGTGTGGCTGTCCGTCGATGCTTGTTACTTGCTACTACAATGTAGCTATTATACACTCAAACTTGGACACTGTCAAGAGGATGATGAAGGGTTCATCACAATGCGATCCTTTCAGAGAGTGAGAGGTGGCGAGGGTTTGTGGTCCGTGATGGAGCTGGGCGAGAATATGACTCGTGACTCAATTCGTGACAGAAATCGTTGGCTGTGGGTGCTTCGTGCGGAAGCCACGACGAAGGAAGCCACCATTGGCTAGATAGCCATGAGCTCCAAACTGTACCGATACCTTGAAAGGCAGGTTCATCTCCAGGTCCCAATCCTGGGCTTAGGCCGGCCTCTACCGGAGCGACTAAAGTAGAGACTAAAGGATTCCTTTAGGTGGTTGTTTAGTTCAAGATTTAGTCATTATCCTTTAGTAATGGTGGTGTCTACCAGCAGATGACTAAATCTCGGACTAAACAATTTAGTCAGTTCTTTAGTCATTTCAACCTGTCTACCCGCCGACTAAACAAATGACTAAACAAATGACTAAATGGAACACTACTGGACTTAAAGGACTCAAAAAAGATGTAACGGACTCAAACAAAGACTTAACAGAAGTGATTAAAGGACTCAAACAAAGACTTAATAACAGAAGTGATTATTTTTTTGAGATAACAAGACTGAGATAACAAGACTCAAAACACACCATTGCGACCTCTATTCGATCGTTCGATCGTTTGCACCTCTACTACTAGAGTAGTATCATTCAGTCAAAGGCCGAGAAATGAAAGCCATCCCGCACTCCATACTCTGCAATGAGGGATGGCTTTCTATTCTCAACCGAAGACTGTTGGTGCGAAGGCTTGTACTCCTCTTCGATCGTTCGATCGTTCGATCGTTCGATCGAACGGTTGCACCTCTACTCTATCAGCTCTGTCGCGATGCTCTGATAGTGAGTTTCTGCACTCCCACGGAAGCACCTCTGTAGGTTTACACTTGGAGTTTGATATCTTGGAGTTTGATATCTAGTTACTTTCGACTTTGACAAGCTGATGAATACTGATACCGGTTTGATGGAGATGGCTGCTGTTAGTCGCTGTTCTTAAAGAGGCTTTAGTCGTTACGCTCGCTCACCGACTAACCAGCCTCCCGTTAGTCGGTGAACGAACTTTGTGACTAAAGCTTTAGTCCGTGGGACGTTTAGTCGGCTTGGGTAGACACCACCCTTGGAGACTAAACTATCGACTAAACTACGAAAAATGGCTTAGTCGCTACTTTAGTTGCTTGGGTAGAGAGCGGCCTTATTCCTCGATCTACCTCTGGCCCAACTCCAAGAAGATAGTCCTCTCCTGGACCTACCCTTGGTTTATCTCCAGCAGGGGCCACTCCTGGACCTGCTTGCTGGCTTTGGCTGGCTGCTTGCCTGGGCACATGCACCTCGCACATATACGGTACATGTACCGAATATCCCTCATGTCGCTTCAGCCCTATGGCTCTATGAAAATTGCACACTACAGTGTATACCTAGCTCGTAGGTGCAACCATCCACCATCCATCATGCAACCGGCATACAGAATCCATTCCAGCCAACTCCCGTACCAAGTTGGGCAATCTTTCTCCTGTGAGCACTACTAGTCTGTGTTTGCTAGCTAGAGTAGCTAGCACAGTGCAATATGACAGGGGGTCAACAGCACCACAATGTAGCTAGCCAGTTTAGTCTTGGTTTGCTAGTGACTCAATCAAGGAAGAAGGGGAAAAAACACAAGTCCTCTGCATCAACAGCAAACAGTGTTGTTGTTGTTGCCATCTCCTTGTGATTACTACTAGCTAGTAGTGGTCATACCATCTACCACTACTCCACAAGAAGAAGCTGCTTGATTCAAAGTGCTTCCACTGTAAAAATCAAATTCTGATCTGTACTGTATTGCATACTGTTTGATCAATGTAGTTTCCTGCTGCCCATACCGTTTACGGTTCATCGTGGGAACAATTTACTGTTTACCGTTTACCGTTTACCGTTCATACATTGACTTGTTCAAAAGAGAACAATATCTGTGTACGATATACGGTTTACGGTTTTACAAATTAAAGTTGATTTACGATATACGATAAACGGTATCCTCCCTCCTGCAATGTTTCCAAAGAAGCAAGGCACAACCCAAAGCCACAGCAGATAAACGGTAAACGGTAAACAGTACACAAAATAATTGAAACGGTACACGGTAAACCGTGTTGAATTCTCTTTACAAAAATATCAAAGAGAAAAACTGCGGTAAACGGTATACTGTTTGGGCTGGCCAGATGTGCACATTGTATACCGTATACCGTATCCGCCACCTCATTAGTGATGACTAAATTTTTAGGCAGAAGTGGGTGGGCCTGCTACATTGTGGTGCTGTTGACCCGCTGTCCAGGGAGCCACATGCTAGACCTGGTTCAACGTCTTCGAAAACATAGTGTGAAGAATCTGCTGCGAGTTGGTTTACGGAAACCATATCCCAAGAAAACGGATTGAATGATTGATTGATTCGATTCAAAAGGCAGGATGGTTATGGTTTGTTTGGCAAGAAGCAACGCTTTTTTCGAAGCTTGCGCTCTGGCTGATGAGTAACAAACTCGAGTTCAAAGAAGATGGTGTACTGCTGCATAGCTAGCAATATTGAATTATTTCTATCATCTTTGCCTATCTATCTAACCCGAAGAGAAGATCTCGGGGCAACTGGACCGTCTCTGCGTTTCGTCCAAGACAGCCACAACTGGAGCTGTACTGGGGGTGCAAAGCAGACTGGACCGTCGCTGGGGGCGCGTTGGAGCCCCCGTCGCGTTGGCAGCGTTGTTTTGAACAGCGTTGTTTCGAACCCGTTCGCTGCGAGAGTACCGTCTTGGTAGGTCTCCTTCACTAAAGCTGCCATTACTGCTGTTGTTGTAGTCGTTGCTGCCACGACGTTGCGGGAATTTTGGACCATGGGCACTCCCATCCAAGGTTGCCGAGAGCCGACGGTCGGTTGTTGGTTCCGTATTAGTAGTTGTTGTGGTTGTGGGAGTTCCTTGCGGTACGTATGGACCACCCAGGTCCATGGTACCTCTTCGTTGGGGTATCCGTGGTGGTGAGGGGGCAGTGTTGCCAGGCGCCCCTTCTCCAATGGCTTTCTTCTTGGAATCAATGCACGCAGCAATTTTGGCGACTCTTGCAGGAGCCGCTGCTGGGGGAGACGCAAACTCCAACGTAGCCTTTCGAAGAGGACGCTTGGGGATACTGTTGCACTTGGCTTTGTTGTTGTTGCTGCTGTTGTTGTTTTGCCTGGCGGCTGCTGCTGTTGCCACGTGCAGTTGTGCCTCTTCCGGCGAAATAAAGTTGGAGTGTCCAAAGTCCACGCTCAATCTCCGACGGGGTCGTCGAGGCTGCCTGCTGGTTTCCTCTACCCGCTCGGCACTGGTATCGGATAGAAACCGAGTTTCCGAGTTGGATAGGTCCAAGTCTCTCCCACAATGCCCCCCCTTTACTCCTTGGTGATGATGAGAATGATGGTAGGGAAACAATGGGGCTTTGGCATGGACACAGGCGTTATCTTGCACAATGTTGATTTGACAGTCTTGATCGATACTGCTCAGCTTGCACACGATTTTGGTCACACATTGGACCGACACGAAATCGTCGAATGCGTCGCTTTCCTTCGCTTCGCACTGAACTTTACCTTGCCCATGTACAAAGGCAGGACCTGAGAACAGACTGTTCATGAAGTTGTGGAGTGGCGGATTCATCATCTTGGTCAATAGTCTATTGTTGGGGTTATAATGAATCTGAAGTATGGAGGAAAGGATCGATGGAGACTGAATCGAATCGAAACCAACAGCGTGCGTTGCTAGCTAGCTAGCTAGCTTCCTTCTGCATTACTGACTGAGTGCAGAACATGTTGTAATGTTCGAGCCGGTGGAAGCTGGGCAATAAGGGTATCGTAAAATCTACTAAGTTAGCTCGCTGTACCACCCGCTGCGGTATTGCCCGTAATACCCAATGAGAGGCATTTCTCCCTCGATAACGAATCGCTTGTGAGGGAGAGGAAACTCGTTCTTAAAAGTCGACTTTTTGTTGTCGAAGACCGGCTAAATAAGGCAATTATTGAATTATAGAACTCTTATTGAACTATACAAATTGAGTGTACAGTACAGTCTGGCAGGGTTCTGAACTGTGTTTAGGGAAGCACTTTTATCTCTCTGGAACATGTTTTAAAGCAAAATGACTCAAATGACCGAATGACAGGGTGGAGCAGAGCCAAAAGACAGCTTTTTATATTTGGGTACCGTATATGTAGGTGAGGTAAGCATGGTTTTCAAGAATCATAATACAAATATACAGATAGAAAATAGCTTTTACCCCATAGTTACCATATCTACCCGTAACTAGTTGTCCAGAGACAGCCCTTCGTCCCCATTCCCCATGACTTCCCATTCCCAAGCCTAGCTAGCTAGCAGAGCTGAAATAGTCAGTCTCATACCTCAAACCAAACACCCGTTTCTTCTGCCCATTTCTGGCCCTCGAAGATGGTCACAAACTGATACTACGTGCAAGCACAGCGTATTTAGCAAGCTATTTAGTACAATGTCATGTACCTGCGTACTCTGGAAAGGACCTTTGCACCACGGCTCCATTAGACCCCCCACAAGCCAGCTAGCTAGCCCCCCCACTCCAGCTACCGTACTAGCCAGCAGGATAAAGACCCAGGCCCACAGCCCACAGTGGCTCCTTCTCCTAGCTCCTCCAGGTGCAGCAGCTCCAAAACAGTTACTGATGCACAATTTGCCATCTATGAACCAGTTCTCACACCGGACGACACACGGGCACCGCTACTCTACCGCTGTACTCGTAGCCAACTACTACGGTACCGGTAGAGGTGGACCCAAACTGGGATCCACCGGTACCTGTACTGGTACCCCACCCCAGGACCTGTTAGTCCTTCCCCTGTGACTTTGCTTACTACAAACTAGTCTTCCCGGTCCGAGCTAAAACAAACCGAAAATGACCTGTGGTAGCGATTTATGACTATCCAGTTACCAGATTACCAGATTACTAAAATCAACCACACAACAACTACCAAGTAGTAATGAACTACGCTAAAAGCTAGTGTAAAGATCTTTCGAGTGTTTTGAGTTTGAGAGAATGAAAGTTATGAGAGAGATTAGAAAGCTATGAAAAACTAATCAACGAAGAGATCATCATCAAGGGATCGTAGATCTGGTTTCCGCGGGAGACTGTGAAGTGTGATAGAGTAGGTTGTGGTAGTAATCCTACGTCTTTCCACGATCCTAAAACGGAACGCGTGGAAGGTTTGTCTAGCCTGATCTAGTAGACGTGGAAGTACTCCACGCTGCTAAATATCTAGAGCGATGTTTCATCATCATCTAGTATGACTAGCGGGTCATTGAGACCCTGTCTCAAATGACTATTCACGAGAGACTCATCATGAGTCAAACTCAAACCCTATCTAGGATCGAGTCGCGAATAAGGCTAAGAGCCGTGTATTGCATTCGCCCCTGACAAGGGTCACAGAAGGCGCGACAGCAGTCGGACAAGGAGAACATATGATTTTAAAGTGCGGGGCACTCTATGAGATTTGGATGTAGACATGTGCGTCGCACGATGGCAATCCTACAAGGGATCAGGCCTTGTATGGGTGTATATACACTTATGTTCCAAGTCTGGTAGACTGTGCCGCCTTGGCGGTAGCATGTTGAGCCGTACAGTGCCATTGTCATTGACTCGGTCTATAGTGTAAGGACTTTGTACTTGGCTGACCGTACTTGCGGTTCTGATACTGTTGAATCATCACAGTATCGTTGACATTGTATTATGAGGGACACGCGTTGCGTTTTCCCTTCTTGTTTTGTTGGATTAGTCGTTGGCGACGTTCCTTAATGTACTTCCAGTTGGGTTCGAACCGGACGTTGTGAATCGCGTACGATTGAACACGAGCTGTCAGGCGTTGCCCAAGGTGGTATGAATCGTGGCATTCATTGCAAAGCGAACCGCCGTGAGGACTCCATCCAGGATCCATTCACGAGGTCGTCTTGGCACTTGATGTTTTGAACAGCGATCAAGTTACGTATGGTTTGATGAGCACGCTCGACCATAGAGTTGGCTTGAGGGTTACGCGTTGTAATGAACTTGCGGCGAAGTCCATATTCATCCCGGATGTCTTTTCGACCTCTGCCGGAACTCGCGTCTCTATCCATGATAACCTCAGCAGGCCACGGATACCGGGTAAGCCACGTTTGTTCTAGGACGATGGCTACTTCGTCTGCTGCCTTGGAGCAGATCTCTGCAATCTCGAACCATCCGGTTACGGGATCAATCATTGTCAAGCAATGGAGTGTGCGGAATTCTTTTTCTTGGATCCCCGACGTTGTAAGGCCTATCAGGTCATACATAGTCTTTCCCAAGGGATCTCCTCGCAAGTCTTTGGAGGCATCAATCCAGCTTACGCGTCTTGGGTTTGTTCATCTGGCAGCTTTTGGCAACGCTGACATACGGTCTGCACAGTCTTGCGCAGTACCTTCCAGGTAGTGTTGGCTGATGGTTAGTCCGTGCGAGTCTCGCCAGGATGCATCAGCACAACCATGGTACCATTCAACTAGCTTTTTGCATAGTTTTAGGTACGACGATTTCTCGTCCTTAACTACTAAGTCGTAGAGACTTATCCCTCTGGGG